TGTTATGAAGGCTCTACCTCATCCATTGCCCAACAAAAATGTGCGGGGATTGAGCACAAGAGTGTTGCTGAGGTACCGGTTGGCGGTAAAGGGATGAAGCTGGATCATGGCGGCTCGAGTCAAAATGAAGTGATTTTTGACTCGATGAAGAGATCATCCAATTTTCCGGAGAATGGCACTCTTTCAGCATTTGCGCAAGTTTTTTATCGCGAAATAAAGCGGCATTCGAAGTGTAGAAGAAAGGTTACGCCTTTGTTCCAGCCAGTTCTGGAAACTTTGTATGAGCAAGCGGAGATAGTTGCATAGGACAAAACTTTGGCTGCTGCTGCTGTTGTTGCTGTAGTCGAAGCCGTAGTTATAGTTGTAGTTGCCGCTAGTGTTACTACAATAGCGTCAGAGGCGGCTGTAATTGTAACTAGAGCGACGGCTACGGCAGCAACAGTCGAGCAACGCAGCCTGAAGGTTGCGACATGTGGAAGCAAGTAACTCGTGTCTTTTAGCTCACTTACTTATCTGGTAAAATTTTTTCTTGTCTCGGTTGTTACTATTATTTTTTTTTTATATTTTGTCATGGTGTTCTCTGAAATTTGCACTACTGCTTATCAGGAAAAAACAATTGAAGCAAATACTTTTTAGTATGTGATTGTTGATTTATTTTTCATATACTTGTAAATTTCTTTCTTTGTTTTTTTTCTCGCCTTTAACGTTCCGAATACGTGTAATGTATCCAAAGTTACTTGCAACAACAACAAAAAAAGAAGTTTGTGGGAAAAGAACCAAGAAGTATTATGATTTTTTCTAGTTTTTTGTTTCTGTCAAAACTCCGCTCGTATACTTTTTCAAATTTATTTTTGTTTCTTTTTTTTTTGTTGTTGGTCTGAATTTCGAAGAATACCAAAACGTTTCTAAAAACATCGACGGCATCAACAAAAACGACAATACCGTTGTAGTCAGCGGTATTGGGTATTGTTCCGAATCGTTTGAATACGAAATTTTTTTTTTACCTTTTGAGTACTGATGTTTCTCCAATTCTCTTCTGCCAGAAGATATCGATGAATGGTGATGGCAGTGGCCGACACAACAAATTAATCAGATTTTTTGAAGTCTGGAACCCCGTTTCCCAGTAAAGCTCCTGTCACAAGATAGGCTAATTGCTATCGAATTAGCCTGTCTTGTGATAGGAGCTTTACTGGGAAATGGGGTTTCAGACTTCAAAAGATCTGAGTAATTTGTTGTGTCGGCCGCTGCCATCACCATTCATCGATATCTTCTGGCAGAAGAGAATTGGAGAAACATCAGTACTCAAAAGGTAAAAAAAAAATTTCGTATTCAAACGATTCGGAACAATACCCAATACCGCTGACTACAACGGTATTGTCGTTCATTGATAAACGGTAGAGGAATTTTCAGAATTTTATGATTGGTAGTGGAAGAAAAAGCGTTTTGGTATTTGTCTGTATAATTACTGCGAAAAGATCTTACTGTACAGCAAATACGAGTAAAACCAGAACTTGATTCAGATCTTCTACACATGTGTATCACCACTGGGTATATATTATTTGTTTTATCTTTAATTTTCATTATTTTTTTATTGTCATGTTCTTCAAGTAAATCATTATTTATTTCTTTTCTTTTTTTTTCTCATGTATATGATTTTTTATGTTATACGGTTTTTGTTCATTTTTTTTGACAGCATGTGCCAGAAATATTCTGCTGTTGGTGTATCATTTTTTTTTTT